TATATGATATCTAGTTATCTACTTTATTACATTATTTCATATGATATTTAATATAACCAGTGGTTTACATATAAGGTATGAAAAGTACGATAATTATAATGAATACTTTAATATTTAGATGAAACTAAAAATTTCAAAGGAATGGATCAAGAATTTAAGAGAACAAAATATTATGCTAGTGCAGGTAGTGGAAGATTTAGAACAAGCTGCTTGCAATAGAGTTAAATTATTGGAACAAAAATTAGAACATTCATCAATATTAATGTCTGGAAATATGTCAAATTCATTGCATACAGAAAAGGTATCTTTTACATTTTTCATCAAAATTGTGAAAACAAAGAAAACAAATTTAATATATCAAATATGTATTATTATAGATTATTAATACACTTTCAAACCGTGTAAATGATTTAGAAAAAGATGAAGGATGTTTGCAACAAAAAGTAGAGTTTCTTCAAAGTGATATTAGAGGATTATTAGAATTAATACGACGAGCAGTACAAGAAAATCATTGGAATTTGGATGACATTAAATTTTTTGAGATTCAACCTAGTGATATACCTATTAAGTAGGTTTTTTTCAATTAGATTATTAATAAAAAAGAAAGTAAACTAAAAATAAAGCTAATTAAAAGTATATACAGGGTGTTATGTTTATTGAAGCTATCAAAACAATGTTCATACAAAAATTATTTCATGTAAAGGGGCACATTATGTAGCATAAATAACTTTTATGTTGGTGAAGTAATGGAGGAGCTATCAAAGTCAAGTTAATTTTTTTAAATGGAACCCTGTATTTTTGTATTTTTAATATAGTAGCGTTTGTTAAGACGAATTCAACGACTTAGCACACGAAGTCATTTCGTTTTATGAAAAATCGTAAAGTAGTGTAGAATCGGGGAGTCAGGTCAACATGTATTGCATGCTTTCGGTCAGCTAAGAGCTCGGAGCCGTTACGCATTGTCGACCAGTCACCGGTGACTTTTTGATAGCTTCAATTCCTCGTGAGATATTTTACCGTTCTCATTTAAACGTAACACTCTATATGTATTGAATTATTTATTACCAATGTATTTCTTTCTAGTATTTTTATATTTTGTAAAAAGTTTAAAAATAATTTAAATTTCTTGTGCTAAGATTAAGTAACAGATTTTTTGTACTTTTACAGTTGCATCTGTGACCAGGTAAATATATAGATGCTAATAAGAGATTTACAATAAAAATTAGTTGTGATTTCATGAATAAATCACATTATCCATTAGATGGAAATATTTGCATGATACATCTTTACCATTCAACAACTCTTTTATTAAGTTTTTACTTTTTGCTACATACGTACTTACAAATAATTGGTGTACATTGTTTATTTTATATTTTAATTTCCTCCACTTCTTTTAATAAATTCTTTGTCAAATATGCTATATAATTTTTATGCAAAATAAATGGTGGGTATGGAATATAATTACATATAAATTGTTGTTTTTCTTACATTAGACTTTTTGTATTTACTATAATCAAAATTTGAAATTAATTTTGTAATCTTGTAATTAGGAAGACATAAATCACGAAAAGGTACAGTCTTTAAAATTGCAAATCAAACATCAAGAAAATGAAAGAAGAATGATTGTGTAAGTAAATATATATGAGTTTTAATAGCAAATGTCTGTTAGTTTCATATTCTTGCAAATAATAGCTTTTTTATTTTTCTAGATATCAAACACAATCAGAAAACAAATTGACTGATCTAAATACAAAATTAGAAACTAGAGAAGATACTGTTAAAAAATATATTTCTCAGGTTCAAAATTTTAGTGATAATTTTAAAAAACATGCTAAGCTTACAGATCAAACTGCGTGTACTTCTTTTGTAACAAATGCTCAGGATACTTTTGAAGTAAGTTAAAATAATTTTAAATTCAAATTCCAAAGAACTATATTGTGCATATATGGGCTGACCCATTTTAATCTATAAATGCTTATTTTTGAAAAGTATGTTTAATTGGAAAACTGGCTTTTGGAGATTAAAGGAGGTGAAGGGGCTCACTAAAGCATCTAGGTGTAAATGCATTTAGTGAAGGTACTTTTCGAAATATAAACATTTATAGATTAAAATGAGTCTCTCTCTCTCTCTCTCTCTCTCTCTCTCTCTCTCAAATTAAATACATTACATGAAAAATGACAAGGCAATCATAATGAATTTGCTTACAGTAAGTGGCATTCTTTAAATTGATATAGTAATAAATTATTAAAACTTTTATTGTTGTTCAGATTATAGTAGTAACTAAGGTATAAATAGTAATCTTTTTATATACAAAGATAATAGTAATATCTTTTACTTTCAGTACCTACATTCTAATTTTTTTTCTTATATTTAAAATTATTATAACAACGTTACTATTGATAGTCAAAAAATTACACTTTTTTGTAAATTATGCGAGAAAATTGTTACAAAAAAATTTTGCATACATCTGCAGAGTATAAAAATGATGTTTCCTTCTTGCAATGTTACATTGCAAAAGTTATAAATCATAATAAACAAGTAGCAAATTTTCTTACAATAAAATAAAACAATTTAATAACTAAAACAATAGATTATTATAGGGATACTGAATACAACAAAGTTAGTGTATGTAAACATTTGCATAGTATTGATAAAAAATCTTAAAATATAGTAAAAAATTGCCACTTTTTAATAATAACAACAAATCATGAATAATAAAGATA